AGGATAGTGTCAAGCTGATGTGATACTGAGCATATCAAATCGACTTGACATCTTAAGTCAGCACAAATAATAAAAATGCTCTTGATTGTCTGTTAAAGGCTTCAAATAAAAAAAAAATTATTGTATCCTTTTGATCATCTAATGCCCCAACACTTACCTTGAGGAATTGAGATGTCAAAATCTAGAATAAAGAACACGATGGTAGGATTAAGATATCATGACTTGCTAGTTCCTGTATGCATACAAAAGCATGTAGGTACTGACTACATGAGGGGAGCTATCCACGGTTTAACCTGGTTACCAGCTCCAATGTGGTAGGCCATTAATGCATGAATACTCCAACTCCAATCTTCCAATCTATCATGTTTAAATCCGCCCTGGTAAAAAATTTTTTTTAATTATATGTTTTGAAAAATTTTAAAATCTTGGATCGATCTTAAGTGGCTCCAAGCTGGTCCTACATGGTTGATCCTCGATTCTATGGAATGATGGATCGGTCCATGATCAAAAAATTTCACGATCAATCCTGTATGGATGGTGATGTTATCCTAACTTTAGGACTACATACTCACTCGAATCATGAATATTATTAAATTCAATAATACATTTTAATATTTTTATAATTATTGAGCCTATTCAAACGTCCATGAGCGGGGTGAGTTGAGCATTCGAGTAAGGATTTGAAAGTGTCAACCGAGTTTGGTTTGGTTTGGTTTGGTTCAACTCATAAATACTTTTCTTTTTTTTAATTGTCCAAACCAAAATAAAAAGAAATAGGTAAAATAATAAGTAAATAAATAAATAAAGGGTAGAAAGTATTGATGTTGGTTTTTGGATAAGTGAATTGTGCATATAATTCTTAGAACATGCGGTGGATAAGAACCCCACCCCCCCCCCCCCAAAAAAAAAAAAAAAAAAAACCTTATTCTAAGAAACATAAACAAATAGAGGAAGTTACATGGAAGAATGTTGTTTTACGTCATGCCGATAATAATAAAATATTGTAGCATCCACCGGCCCGTCTTGCCTTCCCCCTTCTTTGCTCTCTTGCTCCGACAAACAGCATAAGAGGATCAAAGGTCGGTTCCCATGTCTTTATTGTAACACCATTCCATTCCATGTATTGTACTGATAAATTTACATGGTATCGTTTTAACAAATGAAATATTTGTTTTTATTTTATATAGATCATACATTTTTTAATTCATTGGTTCTTATTCCCATTTATTTTGCAGATTTAAAAATATATATTTTTTATATTAATTGCATATAGAGAGCTAGGTTAGCCTTGGATCATCATTTATTAAAAAAAATCAATAAGCACAATAATTACTAGTTAAAATTTAACATTTTTTATTAAAAAAATTGGTGTACAGCATAACGCTAATCATGAGGTGCACAAACTATTCTGAATGGTCCAATTGAAGCTATATTTACACATTATTGACAAAATTCCATCTAGATAATTTTCATTTTTCGTCGTTATGTTTCTTATTAACTTTTAATGAAAAAGTGTGATTTTTTTCATGTTTAGGTTGATGATAAATGATAGCCTTAAAACCTGCTGCGGTCAATTGGACATCAGATATAATTTCAAAACTTGTTAATGGGAAAGGAAGAACGAAAACCAAGTATTGGACAACATTTTTCTCACCTTCAAAAACCATGGATTTGTAAATTGTAAAATAGTTTTTTTTTTTAAATAATAATGATTGTAACTTACGTGATTTATGAAAGATTTTGCCACACCTTTAAGGAAAATGATTAAAGTTATAATAATAATAATAATAATAATAATAATAATAATAATAATATCTTTTTTGCATCAATTTACAATGCTTTTAAATAACTAAAAATATCTTATATAATATATAACAAATTTAGAGTTCAAATTTTAATACCTGTAATAAATTTAACTATCTCAAAGCTATGAATTATTTTGTAAAAAACTAATTTTTTTATTTGAGTATACCAAAGTTTAAACTTGATAACTAGAATTAAAAATCCAATACTCTATCAACAGGACACGTAATTGTTGGCAAAATCTCAAAATTCTCTTCTTTAACTTTAATATTACTTTTTAGACACCAATAGAATGAATTAAGGATGTCAATAGGTATGCTATGAGTTGGGTAGAATATTCTTCATTTACATTTTGATTTTTATATTATACCAATCTCGTACCATACTCAATGATAATTTTAAATTCATTTTCATTCTTATTTCGTGAGTATTTAATGGATATGAATAGTTGCTTGTAACATTTTAAAAAAATAAAAATATTTTTTATTTTTTTATTTTTATCTTACATATTTATGTAAGTTATATATATTTAAGTATAAAATATTAGTTCTAATGCATATAAAATAAAATTTATGTTATTAAATAAAAAAGTAATTTATTAAATATATATATATATATAAATATATAGGGTAAAAATATAGGATAAATGGCTCCAAAATTTATTATCTCACCTGAATTCAATCAAATAAATTCAAATATAAAGAAACAAAACTGAAATCTAGAAAGTTAAGTTTATTTTTAAATTTATTCACTAAAGAGATAACAATAAAAATGTAATTGAATCGAATGAAACAAATCAAGTTCCAATTAAGTTCAACTGATGAAAATTTAGATTCAAGTAACTTAAACTTGTTCGAGATTTACTTTTATTTTCTCAAACTTAATTCATAAAAGTTCAAACTATTTGATTTGATTGGTTTTTTATTAATTTAAAGAAAAGAATTGAAATTTGATCTAAATTTTAAATTTAACCAAATTTTAAAATACATAAATTAATATTATATTATATTTTTATATGTATATAATATATAAAATTTTAAAAATTAGATTAAGACTCACCAATTATTCATATTAAATATTACAAATATTCAAAGAGGACTTTCTATGAGATTGAATTGACAATTTGAATTTTTTTTTTCAAAGAGGGGGGGGGACTTTCCATAAGAGCCAGCTAGGCCACTAGGCAAATCGCGAGAGTGCTGCTATTTGCACCTTAAAAAGTTAATTTTTAAAAAAATATTTAAATATCCATTAGTTAATTTTTTTTTATCATTTACACATTTTCTTAGTAGGTTATCGGAAATGAATTTTCAAATTTTTTTTAAAGTATCAGGAATTTATTTTTGAAAATTTTTCATTATATCGAAAATGCATTTTTGAAAAGCATTGCAATTATCTAGAAATGCATTTTTGGAAGTAATTTTTTATTTATGTTTCTTTGTTGTGATTTTTTTATCAATATTTAGCATGAAAATATCAAATATCCCTTGTTGTGATTTTTAAATGGGTCTGTAAGGATTTTTCTAATGTTTGGGTTGTTTAAATCTAGTAGTAGAAATTTCTAATCTTTCAACCTTACTATCTGTTCAATAATATTTGTAATATTTTTTCAATTCTAACAAACGTGCATATATAAGAAAACCCTAATTATGAAGAGGCATTCATGCAAATAGCTACTGTACCATGTGCAATAAGGTAATCATGCTCCATTGTATATGGTGCAGCAACCAACTTGTACGAATGCCTCTTCACACTTAACGATTCCTCTTAAATACACATTTGTCAAAATTGAAAAAATGTTATATATGTTATTAAACAAATAGTGCTTGGTAGTTGAAAGATTAGAGATCCTTATTAGAGTATTTGTTAGTTTACTGATGACATAATAAGGTCAATTTTTGTGTATTGGAAAGTTATTGGTCTCTATTGGTGGCTGAAAATTATTGTGTACCAAAAATCTATTTTCGGAAGTTTATGAAGACTTTCAAAAATGAATGTCTGAAAATTGTTGAGAAATCAAAAATACACTTTCAAAAATTCTTAGAAGTTTTTTAGTTGTAGATATCCAAAAGCTTTTAAGGGATTCAAAAAATGAATTTTCGATACATTGAAAAAGTTTCTGAACATCCATTTCCGGAAACCTTCAATAATTTTTAAAAATTTATTTTCGGAATGCTTGAATCTCACCCTAAACTTAAAATTTTAAATTTTTTAAAACTAAACACAAAATTAAATGAAAAAAACAAAAAAATAATTTATCTTTGATTTTAAGCTATCTAATATTAAATAGGTAATTGGAGCTTGATTTAAGGCTTAATCCCTAAAGGGTTTAGGATTTTCAGTTGAAGAAGAAATGGGGCATGAGGAGATGGGTGTTTAAGTTTACATGAAAAAAAATTAATGCGTGTTAGTACTAGTGAGATGTGAAATAGAAAGTTATGGTGCAAATAGCACCACTTAACTGCAAAAGCCAACCTTCCAATTTTCACTAAAATAAAAAGAGGTTTCATTCAAAGCTAAAGAAAAAAAAAGAAAGTTTACTTTGAATATCTAATTAAGACTAAAGGGATAAAAATGACATCAAATAAAAAATTAATAATCATCTCAATTCTTATTGTGTAATTAATTATACCATAAAATATTTTTTTTATCAATTGAAATCTTAATAGATAAAAATTGATTAATTATTAACATTAATTTTCTTTAAGTTAAGGGTTCAATTAAAGTGAAAATATATGTTTAAGAATTTAATTAAATGAAAATAAATATTTAAAAACTTAATTAATCCGAAATAAAAAAATTAAAAATTAATTAATTATAATAAAATATCAATTACTTTAAATAATTATTAAATTTTTGTACTAGGGTTTTTTTTTTTTTTTTACCCTTTTGCCTAATATCGAATAATCCAACCTTCTTCTCCGTACACACTTGTTGGGCTGCTTTGCTTATTGGGTGAAACAAAGAACCAATATATACCTGCAAACCCTTACGGTAAACAATCTAAATCCTCAAACATAGGCAAAAGATCACCTTTGTTTTAAGGGAACCAAAAATGCTTTTCAGCATTTTGGATAAGCTTCCCCTGTTTTCTTCTTTTCCTGGATTAACCCCATTTTTATAGTTATTGTTTTCATTATTTCATCTGTTTTAGAATAATTAGAGAGCAAGGTAGGCATGTGAGAGAGTCTGCAAGATTAGAAAAAAACAGGGGAAACAGAGAGCACGGGCAAGGTTATTCTTCTCTCTCTGCTTGCTCTTGCTCTCCCATTACCGCCGCAATTTTCTTCCTTTTCTTAACCTTTCTGCTTAGATAAACCAATGGAAAAGAAAGAGAAAAAAACAAAAAAAAAAATTTTTTTTGGTTTAAATTATTCTGTCATATTATGACATTGTTTTGATACTTAATAAATCACTTCACATTTTCCAAGGATCAGCAACCTCCTAAGTTTGTTCAAAGAACAGACCTTTTTGCAGGAGGAAAAAAAGGGGGAAACCAAACACTCTTTTCCATTTTTGTCGTTCACTTCCCTTCCAAGATGGCCCCTGTCACCTGCATTCTCTTAATATGCATCTTGGGTTCTGTCTGTTCTTTTGCCAGAGCTTCCTTCAATCTTAGCCTCCCTCACCAGCACCCTGACCCTGATTCTGTTGTTCAAGATGTTCAAAGGTAAGCCCTGTTCAAACTTTCTGGGGCGTGTTTGCATTTTGGGTTTCTTTTGAGATTTTATTTTTGAAAAGAAGAAACAAATCCCATTTTTTGTTTCCCATTTTTGAGTTTTATAACCCAAAACCCCACTTTTTGGGTGTTGGACATTTCAAGATTTTAGTCTTGTGGGTCTAATATTTTTGAAGGATATTGACTAAAAAACATGAAGTCCGCCATTTTCTTGGATACCATTTTCTTTTCTACTCTGTTTTCTTCCTTGTTTCATACTCAAAAGGTTTCTCCTAAATAGCTAAAAAAAAAAGATTTCTCCTAAAGCATTTTCAGATAAAGGAAAACTCAATCCCATCTTATTCTTGCCAAATTTAGAGTTTTGTAACCCAAAACTCTTCTTTTTCTTTGTTTTGACGGATTCTGACAGAAAAATGAAGCTCCATTTTCTCTTATACCACATTTTAATAAACAGAATACTCTGTTTCTCTCCCCTGTTTCTCTCAAAAAATCTGCATACATTTACTCAAAATCTTTCCTCTATTCCTTGTAGGAGGTTGAATGTGTCCTTATCAAGAAGACAAGCCCTGTCTGTAATCGAAAAAGACCAATGCCTAACCGGAAACCCCATAGACGACTGCTGGCGATGCGACCCCAACTGGTACAACAACCGTCAACGTTTAGCTGACTGCTCCATTGGCTTTGCGCAAGGCACACTAGGCGGCAAAGGTGGCCCTATCTACACAGTCACCGATTCCTCCGACAATGATCCTGCTAACCCCAAACCAGGCACTCTCCGTCATGCTGTTATTCAAAATGAACCCCTTTGGATCATATTCTCAACAAACATGGTCATCAAACTCAAACACGAGCTCATTTTCAACTCTTACAAAACCGTTGATGGCCGTGGCTACAACGTTCATATAACTGGAAATGGGTGCATAACTTTGCAGTATGTGTCTCACGTCATCATTCATAACATCCATGTTCACCATTGTAAACCTTCAGGGAACACTGTCATTGCTTCATCTCCAACTCGTGTTGGTTGGAGAGGAAGATCTGATGGTGACGGGATTTCCATTTTTGGTTCCCAGAAGCTCTGGATTGATCATTGCTCCCTTAGTTATTGTACTGATGGATTGATTGATGCCATTATGGGGTCCACTGGCATTACCATTAGCAATAGCTATTTTTCTCACCATGATGAAGTTATGCTTTTGGGCCACGATGACAGGTACTTCCACTTCCATCTCTTCATTCTCAATTCCAGAATTTCAATGCATTAAACGAGTCTTGCTTTAGATTTCTTAATTTTTTTTTCCTGTTTTTTCAGGTACTTGCCTGACTCAGGAATGCAGGTGACTATAGCCTTTAATCACTTCGGAGAAGCATTGGTGCAAAGAATGCCAAGGTGCAGGCGAGGGTACATACACGTGGTGAATAATGATTTTACTGCATGGGAAATGTATGCTATCGGTGGTAGTGCTAACCCTACCATCAATAGCCAAGGGAATCGATATACTGCACCAGCGGACCCCAATGCTAAAGAGGTAACTATTTTTTATTGGTCAATTTTCTTTTATTTTTAGATTTTGGTTTAGATTGTTCTGAGTTAAAGAGATGAAAGTAAATTTATGATTGATTAATGATTTCGTGAACTTTGTTGACTTGTGTTTCGGGAAAGGAATATTTTTGCAAGTGGGGCTCGTCCATAATCCCCACTCTCAGCGGTGGCGCGTGGAAATGGGGACAGTGTAGTATTGGAGAGAGAGAAGTCAGCAAGTTTTGATAGTGAAAAGAAAATTGATTAAAAAGGTGTTTAAATTTGTAGACAAGATGACTGCCTCCTCCCTCGTACGGTGGAGTCTGCCTTTTATTTATTTATTTATTTATTTTGTAAAAAAGAGCATGGAAACAACCCAATTGCGTCTAAGGAGCCATAACAGGCGCAAAACTCTAGTACTTTGTTATACATATGTTAACTTGCCTTTTAGGCGCGTGTAATTCAATGTCCTGAGGGTGTGTGGTTTTGTAAATAGGTGACAAAGAGAGTGGACACAGACGAGAAAGAATGGACATATTGGAACTGGAGAACAGATGGGGACATAATGGTAAATGGAGCTTATTTTGTGCCCTCTGGAGCTGGCCTAAGTGCTCAGTATGCTAAAGCTTCCAGTGTAGAGCCCAAATCCGCTGCCCTCATTGAACAACTCACTTTCAATGCTGGCGTTTTTGGTGACGCTAGGTAAATATCTGAAATCCTAATAATGCCCTTTATTTGGTTCTCAGCCTATTAACTGAATTACCTGTCCCTTATTTTAACTGTCAGTCGTATTAATTAATTGGAGATGACAGCTCAATTAATGGTTTGAAATCGGATTTCCTGTAATAGCGATAAAAGGTCGGGATCGGGGTAAAATCGTATCGATTTAATTCGATTTTTTATATAAAAAATTATTTTTAAAATTTTTATTTTTATATTTATATATTATATTTATTTTATTTTATATTAAAAATAATATTTTATTAATTTCGAATTTAATAAAATTAAATATAACTTTATATAATATCATATCGAATCAAATTTAAATATAAAAATAAAAAATTTTAAATATTATAAATATAAAATCAAATCAAATTTGAGACGAATAAAAATTCATTTTATTTTGGATTTTATCATCTCTAATACTAATAATATTTCTTTAGTACTTGGGCGTGAGGTCTGAAGTTAATTAAAATTTGCTCTTAAATTTTTAAAAACTTTAGATTATGGAGAAGGTATCAATCATGTTTTGAACATTGGTTAATTTATGTATATTTAATGTTATATATATATATATATAAAATTTTTGTATTATAATTTGTATTATAATTTGTATTGATATATTAAATATTAAACATATTTTTTAATTTTTATTAAATTTATATATAATTTTTATTAAAATTTTAAATGTGTTATTTTTTAAATATTTTTCATATAATATTATTATATTGAATTTATTGGTCAGACAAAGTTCTAATAAAACCCAAGTTCAGCTTTCAGTTACGGAGGGGTAACTTCTTTTTTTTTTTTTTCCCGATTTGGCTTTTTTAGTGTTAAACAACGCTTAGTTCTTGAGTTTAGAGACAACTAAAAAAAATATTCTTGGGTTTGGAAGGGGAAGTTTTGTTCGTAATTAATAGCTGCCATTCTTTTAGACCCTCTTTTTCTTCATAGATGCACGTGATCATGCGTGTGTAGGGGAATCTGTCCGACACTGAGACCTGCTTTCAGCCTTATTACAACCCTTCATTTGTCCTAGTCCATGTGCCTTTCCACATGCATGGGTAAGGCCGTTCTTTTTTTAGGTTACCATTAACAGCACTGCATTCTTTTAATGCTGTATGTACTCTTTGACTCTTGTTTTTTAACCTTTGGATTCTCTTTGGTTACTGTGTCTCTTTTATCTATTTTTTCATCTTGAGACCAGTTTTGGCCTATGCGAACCATGGGTTGGCACTTGACAACATTTACCACAAACCATAAGCCCCTAACTCCCTAGTCTAATCATTGAAATTACCCTTTGTAAAGTCAAAACTTTTCAAGTTGATTAGAGGTCAAGATTAAAATGTTTGTAAAAAGAACTTTCTTTTTTTTTTAAAGTTTAGAGTGAAAGGAGTTTTTTTTTTTTTTTTAATTTCGGGATTGCAAAAGTTGTAAATTTTAAAAAAAAATTTATATTAAATTTACAAATCACATATAAGAAAACTGTCAGCAGTGAGAGACGATTAAAATATTTATACGTTTCAACTTCCTTTGATTAAAGATAAAATCTAATATTTGATCTTACCCTTTTTTTAGTCATTGACATGTCACTTTTTTATCTCAATTATTATAATTTTCATAAATTAATCCTATTTTTCTTTCTCCGACAGTTAAATCTTCAAACAATTACAAGATTTATTACTTATCTGTGATTAAAGTTCAAATCTTAATTATCTATATTAAAAAAAAGAAAAACTTTTTCCTCTAGGAATATTAGTAAGGACCCAGCCATGTCATCTTCTGGTATTCTACTCATAAAGACGGCCAGGTGACTCAGTTTTTATTCCATCTGATCTGGTTTCCAGCTAGTAAAGAGTAGGACCTATCATGTTTTTAATTGTATCAGTGTGGGCCGCACAGTTTGATGTTGATATGTACTGGACATGAACAAGTAGCTGCATTCGTAGTAAGAAAAGGAGGGGCTTCCATCTGACTTATTGGCAATTTTCTAGGCCCTCTTCCATGCTTCTGTTATGCATGTTACCTCTGGCACCAACCTTTGTCCTAGGGAGTGTGTAAACTACATAGGTCGGACCCCAGCACCTTGGGTTGGTCACCACTTGCGGTGGTGGTGGATGAACTATGAATCTGGTTGATAGGGTGGTTTTGGAAGTAAGAAATGAAGTTGAGGGCTAGGAGCAAGTGAAAAAAGCACCATCCTTTAGTTATTTTGATCAATGATACCGGTTAATAATGATGGATACAATTGTTGTCATTGTTTGCATACATGATATTTCTTGGTGATTAAGGATGCATTGACTATTATTAGTTCAAGAAATTATTAGAGAGGTTTTCTATAATTGTCAGTATGGTTGTATGCTAATTCAAGGTCGTTTTGCTAGTTGTCCTTTTCCTAGCAATAGGATATACTGAATTCTTGCCATAAATTTTGAAATGAAACCTTTCACTTTTGTTGATTGAGGTTAGGAGAAGTGTCTGTCGAGTTTTGATGCTTTCTAAATAATTAGTCTTAGCATGAAAACACCTCTTAAACAGTTGTGTAAATGAACTGAACATGAAAGAATTTTATTATGCTCATGATCTGATATATATCCGTGGGAAAGTCATAATAAGGTAATCCGTTAGATTTGGCGTAAAAAAGCCTTTTTAGATTGATCCAGAGAAGGATACATTAGGCAAATCCTAAGAACTACTTGCCCTGTAAACAAAAAAAAAAAAAAACTTGGAATCTGGCACAACATTACATTTATAATATTATTATCTAATGAACTACCATTTGTTATATATATGTTGTATGAGTTTTTTGCATGTTGAATTATTTGTACAGGGAAGAGACTGGGAGCATTTCTTATCCAGGGTACACCGGGTCCAGCAGCAGCGGCGCTACCAACACAGGTAGTGTAGGATCCGGTGATGGCGGTGACTTCTTTGGAATGATATTCGGGAGCGGCGCGCCACCGCCCCCACCATCCACATCCATAGCCTCAATATGTTTGTTTCTTCTAATTATTTTGATTTTGTATTCTATCACCAACCAAGGTTCTCTACTATCATCGATATTATCATTATTATTGTTATAGAAATTACAAAAGAAAGGGAATCAATGATAGTTTTAGATAAGAAATGAAAGAAAGGAAAAGATTTCTTTGATTAGTTTGGTTGTTAGTCCCTATCCGATTTAGTTAAATGCATACAATAGATGCACACTGACACATACATGTTGAAATGTAGGAAAAGAGAAAAAAAAAAAAAAGTTTTGAGAGGATTTGAATATGATGTGGTTGGATGGGGTGGGATGTTGGATCCCACATCAAATTCAGTGCCTTTGGTCCCCATTGTTTTTGCAATTTTCCTTTTAGTTATCCTTTTGGTTTTTTCTTATTAATTTTTCATTGGCTTTTCTTTGTATAATTAAAATGTGCAATTTTTTCCCTAAAAAAATTAAGGTGAGAGAAGATTATATTATTTTACAGTCAGGACAGATCCTAAATTCCAAATGAAGTATTTTAAAATTCAAAAAAAAAAAATTTATATGACTATTCGATGACCAAAAATCAAAATTTAAATCTTATAAATGAAATATTCGATTTTACATGTTATAATAACATTGTCTTATATTTCTAAAAGAATCCAATTATAGACCACAAAAGGTAGTTGAGTTTTACATTACTGGCATGAAAGAACTTTTCAATGGGGTTTGGTGGCCAAGTGATTCCAAATCTAATTCTCAATCATGGCCAAGATGAAGGAAACAAATAATATAGGAGGAAAAATTTTAAACCATTAAATTATTTATAGTGCATTGTATATTATTACATATTCTTGTCAGGTATTAAAAATATTTAAAAAACATTATTATATTTTGATCGATTTTAAAGATATGGGTTTAACTATAGTGTCTTTAAGAGTGGTTAATACATTATTTATGGTAATATGCTTCTATTTAATACAGTGGGTGATGATTAATTTGATAATTTTTAATGCATTGAGTTAAAATATTATTCAGCAATATTAAAGTTAAAATTTTAAAAATATTAGTAGTATATTATAATCTGGTTCAAATCACTTCCGAGAGACAGCTTCAAGCACTATGGCCAGGACTTACCATATATTATTGTTCATTATATCATTCTTAGGGATAGAGGAAACGATTACGAATGTTTGAAATTTTAACTCTAAATTAGTTAAATATTATTTTTTAAAAAATAATTATATAAAATAATTAAATTAAGGTTCGAGTTCTTTGTTTTTTTTTTTTTTTCCTTACGATAATGATATAATGTTTTTCTTTTCTATAATATGATCAAGGAAAAAAATTGGAATAATAGGCTTTAGTTTCAAAAGTGGCCCATAACATTGAGTAATTGACCCAAAATTGTTGTTAAGGCCGTTAACACTGTTTTTAGCGACAAAAATGTTATAATTGAATGGGATTGTAGCCCAATTTCAATGTTAATCCAATAAAAAACCCCAATCAAGTGGGTGGCAACAACAGACAGACCATGGAAACAAAGAAATAATTTTTTTAAAATTTTATTTGATTTATATAAAAATCTTAAAATATAATATTTAATAAATTTAAATTTTGAATTTCCAACGCTTATAATTCTTTCTGCTATCCTCAAACTGCGACCTTTTTTATACTTTATTAGTTTTATAGAATGAGCGGTAACAGGTATCAAGGAACTAAAATGTTGTATCTCTTCCTTATTTTAGTCATACCACTTTTTTTTTTTTTTCAAATCTTTCAATTCGTCTTATCTTTTCTTTACTTCTTTTATTACACTATATCTTCCTCTAATAAATCTTAAAAAAATCATTTAGAGTAGGAAGTCTTACAACAGAGGCAAAGAACCAAGAAATTTGTGGTCATTGATCTTTAAGAAATTGCACCAAAAAACTTTTAAGGCTTGAACCATTGTTTAACGTGGCAAAAGGTAGAAATGAAAGAATTGAGGTGATTTGAAAATTAGAAAGCAGGCGCCGTCTGTGGGAATTGAAGCCACGGGCTCTACCGGCTGATCTAACATGGCCATATCTCTTCGTGGTTTTGTATTATTTTTGAAACCAAGTATTAAAATGCCTTTTCGGCATTATTATTTCGCAAGGATTTACAATTTAGGGAATTGATTAATAGTTGACAGACACAGAAACACGGCTTGTAATTTGCAGACCTGGTTTTTATGAAAAACACCAAAATAGTTTTGTTCACCAGCAATGCACATCTAGTATTGTTTTCGAAGCTTATTTTGTGGGACATTTTAGCACAAATACACGTTTTTCGAACCAGTAAATTCTTTTCCAGTAAAAAATCAAAATTATTCTGAACCATCTTTTCATCTCAAACAGGCGACAGCAGAAGCTTAATGCAAAAGAAAACATAGAAATGAAACACATGACAACCTGTGAAAACATAGAACCCTGAGATTGTTGACATCATAATATGGTTCATGTACTTTGAGCATCATCCATGCCCAAAGAGGAGCACTACATAATAAGACAAGAAATGCACGAAAGGGAACAAAAGCATTACCAACTAAAAGGAACATAAACATAAACCGGTTACTGTAACTACAGAAAATGTCTTCACTAGTCAGCCCACTGAATGCCTGAAAACAAAACATGCGCCTTTCCTGCTTTGTTAAGATCTCTACAGAGTCGAAAATGTGAAATCATTGCAGGAAAGCATGGCAGTTTTAGAACCCGACTGTGAGAAAGAGAACAAATGAAAATATCTACAGCACTTAAACCATCTCGTAAGCAAGATGAAAGTACTTCACAGATAATTACCATCCTCCCTTGCCACCACCACTCCCTGGTCCCCAAGAACTTGATGCTGCCTTACCCCATGGATCTTGATTTCCACTAGTTTCTTCTACATCTTTTGACTCATTCTGACCAGAAGATAGGCATTCATCGGCAGCATTTGATTGATTCCAAGTCCTAGCTTGATCAGCAGAGCCTGTTCCTCTGTCCCAGCTTGATCCTTGGTTATCCGATCCGCCAGCATTAGTTAAACTTTTATCCCAGCCATGTCCTTGATTGTTACTTTGTTTAACTTCCTTGCTGCCGGTTGACTGGTTCCAGCTAGACCATTTGGTCCCATCAGATGAATTGGATGACTTCCATTTGTTATCCTGACTCCCACCAGATTCATTAGTTGAACCAGTGCCTTTATTCCAGCTACCTTCTTTTGCATCTTTGGATTGATTCCAACAGGAAGATTGGCCTCCTTGATCAGCATTGGATTGATTCCAAGTCTTACCTCCAGGATCAGTTCCACCATTCCAGCGTTGGTTACACTTTGCTTCATTATTTTTCCACCCTTCACCATTGTTTGCCTCTTTGTTCCAGCCAAAAGACTTATTTTCACCAAAATCACTACCATTGTTCCAAACCCCATATTGATCCCTCCTTCCACGTCCTCTACCTCCAAAGCCTTCCCTATCACCGCTTCTACCTCCATAGCCACCTCTATCACCACCTCTACCTCCATAGCCTCCTCCATCACCGCCTCTACCACCAAAACCTCCTCTGTCAGATCTCCCTCGTCCTCCATAGCCTCCTCTATCTGATCTACCTCTACCCCGAAAACCTCCTCTGTCTGTATCCCATCTACCTCTAAAGCCTCTATCTGAGCCATCTCTACCACCAAAACCTCCCCTCCAACTTCCACCACTTCCCCTATTACTAAAAGGCTCATTTTGGTCTTCATTTTCAGTTCCAGACTTCCAATTGCTTTTCGGTTTCCAACCAGAATCCTGATTTGCTTCTCCAGATCCTGAATTCCAGTTGCTTTTCTTGCCCCAACCTGAATCCTGGCCTGCACTACTGGAACCAGGGTTCCAATTGCCTTTTTTATCCCAACCAGAGTCTTGGCCAGAATCAACAGTTCCAGTACCCCAACTGCTTTTCTTACCCCAGGTTGAATCCTGATTTGCATCTGCAGATCCAGAGTTCCAGTCACTTTTCTTCCCCCAACCAGAATCTTTGGTTGAATCACCAGATCCAAAATCAGAATCATTTTTCTTAGCCCAACCAGAATCCTGGTTTGCACTACTAGAACCAGAGTCCCAACCACCCCTTTTGCTCCAACCAGAGTCTTGGCTGGCATCAATAGTACCAGCACCCCAACTGCTTTTTTTACCCCAGTTTGAATCCTGATTTGCATCTGCAGATCCTGATTTCCAGTCGCTTTTCTTTCCACAACTAGAATCTTTGGTTGCATCACCAGATCCAAAGTCCGAATCATTTTTCTTAGCCCAACCAGGATCCTGGTTGGCATTACCAGAACCAGAATTCCAACTGTCCCTTTTTCTCCCACCAGTGTCTTGGCCAGCATCAATATTTCCAGAACCCCAACTGCTTTTCTTACCCCAGTTTGAATCCTGATTTGCCACTGCAGATCCTGAGTTCCAGTCACTTTTCTTCCCCCAACTGGAATCTTTGGTTGCATGACCAGATACCAAGTCCAAATCATTATTCCTAGCCCGATTAGTATCCTGGCCTGCTCCACTACCAGATTTGGAGTTCCAATTGCCTCTCTTAGCCCAACCAGAATCCTCAACAGTTGTACCATTTGTACTTTCCATCTTCCCGGTGTCCCAACCAGCAGATCCCTGATTGCTGCCTGAACTTCTTGGTTTATTCCAACCATCATTTTGGCTCTTCCATCCCTTGGAATCATTCCCTACATTTGCGGGAGGCTGTTCACCCCATGATGATCCCCTGAGTTGTTTGCTCCATGATGAACCTCCATCCTGTTTGCCCCAAGAAGTTCCTACATCAGCAACCTTTCCTTTATTCCAGCCATCAAATTGATTCTGGGATCCATCTTTAGTCCAGCCTGTTGCACATTCACTTGCATCTTTCCTGCTGTTCCGGTTTGTAGATTGGTTCCCACCAAAATCATTGGATTTCTTCCAGCCACTTGATTCATCGGCGTTCACTGCTTCTGATTTGGTTAAAGATCCATCTGCACTTCGCCAACCTCCCTTAGCATCTTCTGCTGCAATTGTTGAACTTCCCCAATTTCCCTTGCTTCTACCAGAACCATCTTTATTGCTCCATTTCTCTGCAGCTTTACCCCAAGAACCGTCTTCACTACCACTAACATCCTTCTTTTTACCCCAACTTTCCTGTTGATTTGACCCTAAAGCATTATTGTTCCAATGGCCCTCACTAGACTTTTCGCTCTTCTCCCATGAACCTGCCTCAACCATACCTTTACCTTTGCCCCACAAATTTACTTGATTTTTTTCAGCATTTACATTATCCCACGCACCAGATGAGCTTTGAGTAGCATTCTTCCCTTTATCCCAACTTTCAGATTTTTTCCAACTGTCCTTAGCAGCATTTATATTTGTATCTTTCTCCCAAGAGGGGAAATTTGAGGAATCAGAAGGATTTCCAATTTCAAGTTTTGCTTGACCCCAGCTGCCTCCGACCTCTTTGGAAGCACCTGATGGATCTCCACTAAAGGTTATAGCTTTACCCCAAGCATCAGATGTATCACTGCCAGAGCCAGGCTTGGAAGCAGCTTTATTCCAACTGTCCCAACTAACAACTTGGTCACTGCCACCTGTAGCCCAAGCTGAATTCTCCTTTGTGCTTGCCTTGTTTTCCCAAGCAGTAGACGCACCATCTACAATAAACAACAAAAAGGACAGGCTTTAAGCACAAAGTAAATTATGTATAACAGTTACATCTTATTTGCAAACAAGATGTATCGGTAATACCTGTTTTTTTATCATTATCCCCAGAACCAATTGCTGCACCCCAAGATGAATTCTGGTTTGAAGTCACCTTGCAATCCCAGGCACTGTCTTCACCATCTAGAGCAGAAAGTGAAAGTGATTACCTTTAAACATGTGATAAATTCTTTTTCAGGCATCACACACTTGCCAATAATAGTGCATTAATCATACCTTTATTCAGATTAGTGTCACCAGAACCAAATAGATTTGAATGATTGGGTTCTGACTGGTGCTGCAACCATTACAAGAACTCATATAACTATGTCCTTGAATGTTTACACATTGCTCGTGTTGAATGCATATTATGTACATTTGGTGGATGTACTTGGATGGATGGCATTGTGTGCACGTCAGCATTGTGCAAGCATATGCGTGTAAATGTATGTGTAATATGTGTGTTTGTGTGTGTGTGTGTGTGTGAGAGAGAGAGAGAGAGAGGGAGAGAGAATTAAGTTAAGGACAAACCAAATGGCCAGGCCCAGAGAAACTAGGCCAGGAGCTCCTGCAGAAAAGTGCAGAACAGTGTCAGATTGCAGAAACAACAGCACATCCAAGATGAAGAGAAAGAAAAAGGTCTGAGAGGGCCCATCAACCAAAGCTGAACTTTAGGGGGTGAGGACAACTAGCAGAACTTTGGTAACCAGAAGCCAGGGGGAAGGGGGAGGGGGGAGGAAATGTTACAGTAAATTGTCATGAGTAAAGCTCCTAAAATGGAGAAGAGATTTTTTATCAAAAATCTTTTTCCATCCTTGAACATGAATTCTACTCTACATTTTCACTCACCATGGTTGAAGCTACTTTTATCACAACAGGAATCATTGAGGTTTTATTACTACAATACACCATCATCCAGTAAACCAACAATTGAAAGAGTGAGATGGATGCTAGCATAGCACACAATTTGAATTGGGTAATAAAATGGAATGGCAGGATTAAGCCCTGTTTAGCAAATGTAAAAACCATATAAAATAAGCAGATACTGTGCCAACCCCAAATCATGGAGTTCAACAAGAATTCAAAGTCAAATGCCATAAAATGTGAGCCTAGTTATTCAGACAATAGAAAGCACAGATTGACATTACTTATTTTACTTTTCCAGATATGACATGTAGACTATATTTCCAAACTCAAATTCTTATCCTATCCAAAATTAGGCATCCATACAAGCACAGTAAGAAGGCATCCAAGTTTACTGATAATAGAACTATTCTACCATTACAAACAAACAACCGTCTCTATAGTTTTTTCCTCTAAAGGCCACAGTTTGATAGATTTTACCTTTCAGCATTCCATCCACCACCCTCAGCTGATGTTCCCGCAGTACCCAACCAATCTTCCAAAAAGAGAAAGTAGAGAAAGAGATAGAGCATATCAGATTACTGTCAGATCAAGGATAACATGGAAAAAGCAAGCATGGAAATGAGGAGGAAAAAAATACCCTCATGGAATTAATTCATTTGGGTTAACAATTATAAATTGTAAAACCCAACCTTTGTGTTATAAATAATAACTTTTTACTCAAGCATACCATCAATGAAAATTCATGCCAGATTTACAGAGAAGATAATTGATCAAAAAGAAAATCATAAGGCGTATGTGTATAAGTTAATACTTTGACAAATCTAGGATAGAGAATCTCTCACCTCCAGACGAGCCTTCTGTTCCAAGAATATCAAATGGTTTGAATGAACTGGACCCGTCATGACCACTTTTAAAGGAAGAGTAATAGCACATTAAAACATTTTAAGATGGCTGTCACAAAGGTTATACATAAATTAATCACAGTTAAAAATCCACGTACCTTGTATTTGCAGCAAAGCTCTTCCCTTGGACCTCAGCAAGATGCTCATTTTTAACTACAGAAACATCAAGAAACTAATAACATCATTACAGAAAGTATAAACCCATAATCCACATAAAACAGATTATCTATTAATTTACGGACCTGCAAGAACCTTCTGCTTAGAATCCAGCTTCACAGTAACATCTGAATATCGCACAGCAAGTACACGGCAAAGGTACCCTTTCAGAGGGCCCACCCGTATTCTTAAGGTTTGGCCAACAGAGAACATTCCATCTCTGTTCCCTCTGTCGACTGCATTTGAAATGATTAATTAGTGTCAATGCCTAGATATTCAAATAAATGATCGCTATTGACTGCCAAAAATAGAGAATGGGACTTTTCAAAACATACAATGACTTCTAGTTTCCTTTTCTTGCCATGGTTTTTTGGGCGACGATGGGGACTTAGGAGATGACATAAAATCCCCAAAGTCTGTAGTAACAGGCTCACCACCCTGATTAAAAATAGAAAATTCATTATAGATCATGAGAATTTCAAGATGAAGGAGAGAGAGAGGGAGGTCTATGTTCATTTCACTTAAAACCTTCTCACTGCATGCTTCGAAAACTTGCTTGATTTTCTCACACATTTGGGATTTACAGCAGAAATAACCACCATTATCTGTCTCATTCTCATCATACAAAAATATGGTCCCTCGGTATATTTGTTTAACAATCCCTTGCTTACCCTGCAACATAAGACACGCAACATATTAGCATATATATCTACTCCATTAAACAAAGATAAACATTTAGAATGAGTATGCGATTGGAGATTGCTGTCAAACCTCATGTTGACCTTCCAAGACTTTAACAGTGTCACCAATGGATATGGTCTTTGAGTGCTGATCTAAAGCAGTAAACTTTGTATCCAAAGGCCCACTCTTTAACTCGCGCTGCTCAACAGTCACGACAACTGGTCCTTCTGAAGCCTCTTTTAAAATCTGGTACGTGCATAGCAGGTAAGCAGCCAATAATTTTCACATGAAGTAAATAACATAATCTATGTACCTTGTAACGGTCATCTTTTTCCATGCCAACAATAAGCCCAAAATCTTTCCGGCTGCAATGGAAATGAAAATTAACACAAAGAAGATCAACAAGTAGTTTATACAAGGTTACTACCGTGACAGAATTATGTTCAAGAATTACCCGAAACAGACAAGGTTATACAGTTCAAAGCTATTCTCCATGTCAAACCCTGATGAGCCCTCTCCTTTCTCACCTCCTTTATCATTTGTAATGGTCTTCTTTCTCTTTTTTTCACCATAAAGTTGTGAAAGCCACTCCAGATCATCAGATTCATTATGATCAGAATGGCTAAACTTTAGGAGCTCCTCCTCTGTAGGAATAACACCCCAGCAGCTTAATGAATCTATAGATACTTTTTTATACAGATATCCATCCTTGAGCATCATGCCATCTAGTATCTGATAACCAATGCCTGTATCACGGTCACGTCTATATTGAATGAGAGGTCGAAACTCCCTGCATCAAGGTCAAACATCAATTTAAAAATTTCAAATGCTATGTAAACCATAAAAGATATAATTGTGTGTAGATCAGGTGTATTACTCGAGTTCAGATGAACTTATCAATTTTGGTGCTGGTGTAACAGTTCGATTGATGGAAACTCCACCACCCTGTAACATAAAAAATCAGTGATTTGATGAAAAATATTGTGCATATAAGTCTCTGTAGCAAGAAAAATACATCTCAATTCTCCCAACAAACAATTATGCACAACCCTATGAAACGAAACAATATAACACTAGCTTGTGAACCACAACTTTATAATTAAAAAATACAATGCCTTCAAAAAAATAAGAACCAAAGTGGAGCACTGTGGTTAGTATTGCCCACTGAAGCTATAGCACAGATGGAAAGGGCAACAAAAGTGAAACAGGTAAAAACTGCCTGCGTTGACATAAAATATAGCAAAATCTAGAAACGGCTTCAATTTACCATAAAGTACACAGAACTTCAACATCCTACAGGAACCTCAAGTCATTTAAGATACCATTTAATTGTTGCTTTTGCCACTGCCTTTTGCTTCCAAAAACAAGAAGAAAAAAGTGCATTTAGATACAAAACAAACAATGCATTTGAAGGAAAAAAAAAGCAACTTTTTTAAATAAAAAATGCAAGATCCTGCTTTTATATAACGTGATTGGTGTTATATCTTAGTCATTTGTTCATTTTTAATCAATTATGACCTTACTTTTTACCATTTTCTTTTGTTATATAGTACGAAGCAAGTAACCAAAGCAATTACTAAATAGAAGCTATATCTCAATTTCTCTTCATTACAAACATGATTCATCACAAGAATCAAGGATGCATTAGGACAAAAAGAAATTATTATATTCTGGTAAATCTTTCCTCTGAAAGAGAATTGCTAATATTAGTCCAACCATTGCTAGAAATAACAGCTATGTCAATTGAATCTTCATCTAGCTTTGTTAGGTTCTTCCAGAAAAACTGCTCATTTTAGAATGATTACAAAGTAACCAATAACAAGATATCAACCAGTGCTTCAAATAACAGCAGAAAACAAGGAAACTAAGTAGATAATCAGTATTATTACAAATTTTGCAGCCATCGCCTGCAGATCAATTCTTGGAATGAGCTTTACTGTTGCTCTTTTCCGTTCATTGTTTACAGCAACAACCTATATAAAGAAATTTGACACAAACCAATGAAAAATTTAGATAGGGCATAAAGCAAACTTAATTTGACTATCTGAAACACATCTACCTGGGCAAGGTCCCCCTTATACTTCCCATTCTTTACCCGAGCCCACATGCCCTGGGAGACTTCACTATGTTTAGTTCTGACGGTAAGTAAATGGTAAACTTCATTGCTTGGAACAGGCGCCACTCGAGAAGAATAAATATAAGTAAGTCCTTTACATGCCTAAAATGGAACAAAAGGTATGTTAGATACAGACACTAATAGAAAATAATTGAGCCATAACATTCTCTGGGGTCTTAAAGCATAATTGACCTCATTAACGTCACATTGTCTGTCAGCTTCAATGTAAAAAAAGCCCTTGATGTGATCAACAGAGAATGCTGATATTATCTGTAATTTATTGCCTAGTGATTTCATGTCAATAAACTTCTGCATGAGACAGAAAGCTGAATGCCTTTCACGTCCAACCTACATGTAACAAATTTTAGGTGAAACAAGTAAATGAGAAACGGTAGGGGGAGATGAAGGCAAAATTCAAATTTTCAATAGAACATGTCATTTTAACAACACATCAATCATACCACACATTTAACTTTCCATATAGTAGGATCCTTGGAAGAAGACACGGTAGAGTTTCTGTCAATTGATCCCTTGGCTTCATAGGAATCTTCAGCATATGTCACAAACCCAGCACCATCCCTGTATCGCTCCTCCATCATTTTATCAAATTCTTCCTCAATCACCTCTTCCTTGGGAACAAATGGAAGGTTATGGGTTTTTTCAGACTTGTTATTTCCATTAAGATCTGGTTGTTCTTCCATAAAATCTGATGTCAACACCAAAAAATAAGGGGATAGGAAGATAAAAGGCAATAATAAGCCAGGTTGATTATGCAATAATAATGCAAGAACACCTTAAGTAAGCTCATAAGGAAACAGAATTATATTATGTAATCAAACTAGAATTCAATACGAAAGGATTTCTTAACTAGAATGCAAAATTTTGATACATGGAGTTTGAACAACCCAACAGTTATTTATAAACTGAGATTAATATGTTTCATTATATATGGCACTTTCAGGTCATTAATAAGTTGTCAGGATGTGAAAAGTGTAGCTTTCTTGTGGTGAGAATCATGTTGATCTTGGAAGGTCCAAAAAGGCGAGGGATGTAAAATGTTGGAAAGACATCTTAGAAGAACAGGTGAGGGTTAAATTTCACACATCACACAATTTGAATAAAATATGAAGAAAGAACAAGAAACTCATAAACAACCTCATATTTAAAAGCCCTAAACCCAAAAGAAAAAAATTCTTCGAGAAGGCCACTCATGTATGATGTAACAATGTAAATACACCTCAAACCCTTTCATAGAACAAATATCTTCTGAAAATGAAGCCCAAATCATCACTCCTTTACCAAATAAGATATGAAAGATCATCCCAGATCTTTGAACAGTTATCTCCTTGAAAAAGCTCAACCCACAAACCATCACCATATTAACTGAAAAGAAATTCATGCAATTGACAAAAGCAACCACAGACAAACTCAACCCCAAAATCCCTAAATTCAAACAACAAAAATCTTCTCTAAGAAAGATCCTCATGCTCAATAAAATAAAGTCCAATAAACGTCGAAATCTCCTTTGAAATATAAATATCCCTAAAAAGTGATTTCACATTCACTCAGTTCTTTACTAAATAAGCCTTTTGGACAATGCTCAACCTATCAATCATCTTCATGTTCACTTAAAAACCCTATAAATAATATGAGAAAGAGAACTTGAAAACTACTGAATTTGTGCCTCTTTGACTTTCACAACCATACTCCATAAAATGATTATTCATGCAGAAAGCACAAAAAAATTCATCACTTTCACAAAAACACAAAGAATGAAAACAAACGTTTTTAAAAATAATCCACAAAAAAAAATTGAAAAGGAAAAGATTCCATCACATCATTTCTCAGTTAATTAAAAAACAACCTCTTACAAAAAGTCATAACGAGTTTTACTTAACAATAATCTTCCACATTATTAAACATATTAAAAAATAAAAAATTCCCACAAAAGAGATAAAAAAAAAAACAAATAACCAAAATGATGGTATAAAATCAAACATTTCCACAACCTAAAAACCCTAAAAACCATAAAAAGAAAATGCACAACAAAATCAAAGCTTAAAACCCCTAAGCCTTAGAAAACTCGCAAACAGTGACATGCAAGACCAGAAAATAAAGAAAAAAACCCCTAAAAATAACCAAAACGAAGAACGATCAGCCATACAATTATCGAAATCGCTGTCATCGCTAGAGTCATTATAATCGAAATCAGCAGCGTCTTCAAAGAACTGAAGGACTCCAGGGTTCTTCCGTTTCCGACGGCTCTCCTCGGCTCCACTTCCGATTCTTCCTGCGCTGACCTTCCGTTTCCCGGAAACCACCTCCTTCGCCTTCTCCTTCCCCTTCGACGACATATCGTTTCAGTCGCAATGCATCAGATTTTCTTTTTGTTCTTCTAATTTTCTACATAAATGAAAAATCAGAGAGAATATCGCTTCCGTTGAGGGTTTTCTTCCCCTTTTGAAGTGACTTTTGTGAGTGAAATGAAAGCGTGACTGATTGCAGTGGTGGTAGTGTACTGCAAAGCTGAAATAAAAAGAGACGACTTTTTACGATTATGCCCCTCTTCAGTTTTCTGTTTTGCCAAAAATGCTAACAGGCCCGGACTCAAAGTTACCTCTGTCCTTGTATGTATTAAATACCTGTATTATATAATATAAATATATAAATATTAAAATTTTTTATGAAAAAATAATCTAATATAAATAATTTATATTTTAATATGTGAATAAATTTAAAAAACCATTATATATTTTTTAATAAAACCATTATACATTTTTTAATAAATATATTTTATTTATTTAAAATATTTTTATTATTTTTATAATAACATTTTTATTACTTAATTAGGTAGAGTAAATTAATTACATTTATTATTTTTAAATATTAAATATTTTATTTTATACTAATAAGCTATAATTAATTTGATAAATAATACAAATAAAAATAAAAATTAAATAAAAAGTTAATTACTCGAGAATATATTTTTATATCTTTTACTATTAATATAGTAATTTTTTAATACATATTATATAAATATATAAAAGTAAAAAATTTTAATACAAAAAGGAAAAATCTAATGTAAATGATTTATTCTTTTAACGCGTGGATGATCTTGAATAATTTGCCATATGTCATGTATTAATTATTTTGATTTATTTTTATATAAACTTTATAATTTAAAAGATATTTATTTTGATTAAATTAGATATATTTATTTTCTTTTAAATATAAAATATTATTATCTTTTATAAATATGTTATAATTCAATTATCTTAAATCACTTTCAAATAAATTTAATTCTTAATTTTAAACACTAAACATGAACAATATAAATAAGAAATATGTTTTAAAAACATTGACTATTTGATATCCATAATTTTAGTATTTAATTAAAAATAATTTATGTAACGAATATATAAGTCATGTAATGCTAGAAATTCAAACCTAAAATAAAAGGCCTAATTAATTGCAAACATATTTTTTATATTTTTTTATATAAGTATTAATTACAATAACGCATATTTACCAATATAATTTATTATTTCAAAATACATCCATGAAGAGTTTTAACATTTATAGTTTTTAAAGAAAATCCTTGATCTGTCGGTACTGATCTTGCACCTTATCCAAGAAGTTTAGCAGATGTTGCCAACATTATCTTGTTGGATACATTCCTGATTTTAGTTCTTTCATTCATTCTTTCATTTCTATTGCTTTGCAAACAACTTTATTAATTTGTTCAAATAGATGCTTCAAATGCTCTTGTTTTGCCAAGAACGCTTGTCTCTATCTTTCTCCCTTATCCCAAAATTGAGCATATACTAGAAACTACCTATATTCATCAATCAATTTTTCTTATCAACATTTGTTGGCCATACAACTGTTCTCCTAATTCATTGACAAAAGCTTGGAGTGAGTATTTCTCTTATTTAACTTTATGATATTCTTTTTTCACTTTTGTATCTTGATTTGGGACTGCCTGATTTCTTTTTAAAGGTACCTTAGCTTAGTGATAGTAAATGAAAGTGTATGGCTCGAATCTTGAAACATTTTTTTCTATCTATTTCACTCTTGACCAATCTTTTGGATCTCATTGTTTTGTCTCTTCAAATCATCTTCTAATTTTTTCATCTCTTGACGAAGTCTTTTATTCTCATTGTTCAATTCATCCTTATCTTTTTGGAGTTTTTGTTTAGCAATTTTCATGTTTAGCAAAGGATCTCATGGCATAGGTTTAATTAGGGCATTAGAAATTTCATCTAAAGGGAGCAAGATGTTTTTGGCTTACTTAATATGCTAAATAAAATATTTTGAAGCGATATCATCTGTGTGTTTCTTTTTTACACCTAGACAGTTTGCTTCCTAGCTTTGGTAATATCCTTTATCTTATTCAAGTACCTGCATCAATATATGCAAATTTTAATTGACCAAGCTCATATGTCATTAGGATAAATTATTCATAGCCCGATTGCCTTCACACCATTGTTAGGGCATAACTGACAGCATCTCATAAACCTAAAAGAGGGATCCAAGATTGATTCTCATAACTAAATAATACCGAGTCATATGGCATCCATGGTGCTCTCCAAATAACATCTTAACTTGTAAACTTGCGTAAATTTTAGATCCATTCATTCTTTGACTTTGGCACTAGCAATTTACTTTTGTAGAACTCTTTGATAAGTATGTTGGTGGTGTAGTATAGCTTATGAAATTTAGCCTACTTGCATATAAAGTGGTTTTTTATCCAAATATACAACAACTGTAAGTATTCGATGAAGCACCCATCACCTTTTTACCGATAATGATTAAAAAATCGAATAGTTTTAGCTAAAATTACTTGTGTCACATTTATTTGATTCTCCACTTGATAAAAGAAATCTACCACCGTGGCTTCATGTATCTTAAGAATTTAAGAAATATCACTATCTTATAAAGAGCTAAGCCATCATGTTCATGCCTTGATCATCATTTATACGCTTAATACAATGATATTGTAGAAAATCCCAAAGTATATAAGTACTTTCATTTTTTGACTTTACATGTTTGTCAACCTCTTGCATTGACCTTATTATGCGAGCAAGCTTTACGCGATAGTCTGACTTTTTATTTTTCCAATAGATCTTATCTGGGTTTGAATGATTGAGACGAAGCAAAACTAAATACTCTTCAATTGTTGACACCATATCCATTTTATTAAACATGAAGCATTTGTGCAAAATATCCTAAAATTGTACTATGGTTTAGACCAAATTACTATCGACAGCATCTTAAAGGAGTAATGCCAAATCCTCACACTTTTTATGAAAAGCCTTTTGTCTTGTTTCATTTCAATGCTCTCAAATGCTAGTCAACTCGGTGAAGTTATTTTATCTAAGATCGAAACGTATCTTTTTGAAAGAGTAGACACATAATCTCTTAGCAAATAATTTCCCTCTTTGAATTAGGTATCATTGCATCTAACTTTTTAAACTATTAGAAGTCTTACATTGGATGGGTTTAATCTTAGCTTACAGTAAACTTTCCATGGATGCAAGTAAAATCAACTCGTCAGCAATTGCTATGTCGCAAATACCTCATTATATAAAGATCAATAGATGTAAATGCATGAAAATAAAATGAATAAGACAGAACAATGTAAATTATAATGTCAAATTTTATTGTTAAGGGATGTTCCTTCATGTGTTTTAGATTGGGTCATAGCTCTACACAACAAATAGGTATGGCTCTATCTTAAAGCAAGTTCCTTAGGTTTTTTATATGCTGGACTTGGATATTAGACAGGCTAAAAGGCTTCCAAATTGTTCCTCACTGTCATCCATACTGGACTAGCAAGGTATCTCAATCTTTACTCATTATAAGTTACAAACGAAAATGGTTTAATCTGAGTTGAAATATTTCGCTAGCCTGTGTGGAGGTTATCACCTCATGAAGGTGGTAAGTACTATACTTCCTCTTAAAAAGGACTAAGCTTAAGTCAAGAGCTTATGTATGCATATGCATGTATAGTATGTATGAATGAGCATATAATCATTTTGCATGACAAATTAGACATTTGATTTTTCCCATTACAAATATAAGTCTATAAGAAAATAATAACATTAGTAAAATAAGATAATTTGAAGGATTAAATAAACACAAAAATAATAACAAATTATAAATCCTAAGGCAACATAAAGTTACTCCTTAACTCAACTCTCATGGCATGATTTCCCAATCGAGTCATTAAGCTATCATAACGTATTAGTCCTAGGACTTGATTGCTAGACGTAATATATTAGGAGTCACCACTACTCTTTTTTGTTGAGAAACAATTGGCCACCAAATTAAAATTATCTCTTTTAAAGAAATCCTAAGTTCAATTAAGACTTCATAAAAATGATAAGTTTTAGTCTACATTGCAGAGCTAAGCTCAAGAGTATGATTACGTGTGGAGAAGGATTAGCATCTCCATAACACCCATCCAAAAATAGTACTAACTAACTTTGTGTTGCACTAAGTTGGTCTTTAATTAAATGGTCTTTGGTTTTGTTTTATTTTTTATTTAATTTAATTACTTAAATATTAAAAAATTTCATAAGATTTTGCATAATTCTAATAAAATCTCTAGAAAAATTTTCTCATCATAAGAGTATTCAATAAACTTATTCGTTTCCTTAAAGAGGCTCTATCGTTGGATTGATAAAATTTTTATATTTTTTTAAACCTTTTTATAATTTTATAAAAAAATTTTATTCTAAATTTTTTTTTATCATTTTGGTAAATTTTAAAAATATTTTATTCTTTAAAAATTTCTTCTAAAGATCACTCGTTTGTAATCTTTAGAATTTCATGAATACTTTTTATTATTTTAAAAATAATTTAAATCATAAATTATCTATCTTTCTAGAATAATTTTAATCAAAATATTTTTATTTTATTTTATTTTTTAGAAACTACTCATTCATAATTTTCTTCAGAATGCTACTATTGTTCTTATTTATTTTTTATTAAAATTTTATAACATTTATTATTATTATTATTTATTTGTTTATTTATTTGTGACCTTTGTTATTTTATTTTTTGTTTTTGTTCAAAATAAATATTTTTAGAATTTTTTTAAATTCACCATTATTCTAGTAAAATTTAAAAGGTTTCTTTTTATAAGTTGTACATTCGCAATTGTTTGAAAATTTATTGTCATTATTTTTTTAAAATGCATTTATCTCTATTTCATTTTTTCATTTATTATTTAAAATTTTCTTAAAATTTATTAAATTTTAGGGTAAAATTATTATGTAAATAAATTTTAATTTAAATATTTTGTCATATAAATATTTTATATTATAGTAAGTTCAAATTCTAAACATTCATATTATTCAAATAATATATAAAACATAAATAAAAATTCAACAAAAAAAAACTTGTAAAGGTCGATCAACAGTATAAATGTGGTTCAAACAGATTTAAGGGCAGTTAATGGTTCAAATTGGTTTTCTAGCAATCTAAGGTGGTTTATTGCGATTTTATCTAATTTAGAGTTGTTTAAAGGCTGTTTGGTCCTGTTCAGGATCGGTTTAATTGGATTGATCAATGGCTAAATGAGGAATG